ATCCTGCATGGTTCCAGAGTTGACTGAGTTCAGTGCAGTCGCTACTCGACTCCATCTGTGGAAAGAAAATCATTCGGTCATAAAATGCTTTAAAAGAAACAAAACAGATGTTTAACAACCAGAACTGAGTTCGCTCAGACATCCAAGGAAGGTTGGACCCTCATCGGTCTGAAGACCTCTGGTGGAAACTACGAATGGCTGGAGTAAACGTCATCACAGCGAACAGGAAGTTAATATAAACCTGAACATACGCACCAGATTTATGGGTCATCACCAGAACTGAAGGTCCTGCAGCTTCAGAGCAGACACGTTTCACCTGAAAAGACATAAAAGGTAAGAAACTTTGTTTTCTAAACATCTGAAGTTAGACGTGGACACAGTTCGCTCAGACATCCAAGGAAGGTTGGACCCTCATCGGTCTGAAGACCTCTGGTGGAAACTACGAATGGCTGGAGTAAACGTCATCACAGCGAACAGGAAGTTAAAATAAACCTGAACATACACACCTGATTGATGGGTCTTCATCACCAGAACTGAAGGTCCTGCAGCTTCAGAGCAGACACGTTTCACCTGAAAAGACATAAAAGGTAAGAAACTTTGTTTTCTAAACATCTGAAGTTAGACGTGGACACAGTTCGCTCAGACATCCAAGGAAGGTTGGACCCTCATCGGTCCGAAGACCTCTGGTGGAAACTACGAATGGCTGGAGTAAACGTCATCACAGCGAACAGGAAGTTAATAAAAACCTGAACATACGCACCAGATTTATGGGTCTTCATCACCAGAACTGAAGGTCCTGCAGCTTTAGACATTTTCCCTGCAAAGACAAATAAAAGGTAAGAAACTAGTTTTCTTAAATCCTACAGTTAGACATGGACACAGTTCGCTCAGACATCCAAGGAAGGTTGAACCCTCATCGGTCTGAAGACCTCTGGTGGAAACTACGAATGGCTGGAGTAAACGTCATCACAGCGAACAGGAAGTTAATATAAACCTGAACATACGCACCAGATTGATGGGTCTTCATCACCAGAACTGAAGGTCCTGCATCTTTAGAGACGTTTTCCCTGCAAAGACAAATAAAAGGTAAGAAACTATTGTTTTCTTAAATCCTACAGTTAGACATGGACGCAGTTCGCTCAGACATCCAAGGAAGGTTGGACCCTCATCGGTCTGAAGACCTCTGGTGGAAACTACGAATGGCTGGAGTAAACGTCATCACAGCGAACAGGAAGTTAATATAAACCTGAACATACG